AGCGAGCAGCGGGCACCGAGTCTCCCGGCCGGAGGAGCTGCAGCTCGGCGAAGGGGCGGGGCAGCCGGGTCGGCGACCCGCTCACCCGGAAGGAGTTACGGCCCCGGCTGCCGGGGGGCGTGGCGCGCGGCCGGCGAGGCTGGAGCCTGGAGAGGCTGCGTCGGCTGTGCGGTCCCGCGAGGAGCTGCGGACAACTCCGTCCCCGCGTCCCCGAGTCCCCGAGGCCGACGCACCTGCCGCTCGCTCTGCTCGGTGAGGGCCGCGCGACAAGGCCGCCGGGGTGCGGCCGCCAGTGGGCGGGGCCCGAGTCTATGGTGGGGCGGGGTCTGTGCCAGGTGGGGCGGGGTCTGTCAACTGATAGGTGGGAGTGGTTTGAGGGTGTGGCCTGAAGTCGGTGGGCGGGGCCCGAGCAGGGTGGGCGGAGTTTTCTGGTCAGGGCCAGTCTCTGGTGCGGTGGGCGGGGCATTCATCCCTGATGGGGCGGGGTTTGTCAACCGGTGGATCCCCTGAATCTGCCTTGTTTCTTTCCATCCTGTACTATCCCAAAACAAGACAAATCAAAAAAGTGAAAACGAATTCCTGTCCAAGGTTGCACCTGCATAATCCACCTTTCAGTTCTCCAGCTGGCAAACTGGTGGGCGGAGCAGGGTGACAGTCTGACTGTATGTAGGAAACAGATCTACTGTAAGGTGGGTTAGGTGTGATTGAAATGGCTAAAAGCCTAATTTCCACGATGGAGACCCATGATGGGGAAAATGATTGCCAGAGAAGAATGCTTAGAGCTGCTGGCGATTGGAAGCCTGTTAGAAATCAGCTCGAGACTACGGGCCATTAGTTCGTTCCAGAAATGACTGTGGAAGGCGCCCAGGTCCAATGCAGTGGCGATAGACAAGGGAGGGTTCTGCTTCTGGGAGCCTGTCTACCTTCTTGGGGGAGATAGATTTAAGCAAGCAGCTTGGTGATGAGACAGATTAAGTGGGCAAGGCATCTTTAGCTGGATGAAATGGTTAGAAGAGACCTCTGGAAGGAAGTGACATTTGAGCAGCTTTCTGAAGAAAAATGAGAAAATGCATTTAGACACACGGCTATATACAGTGACTGTGGGTTCCAGAGCACGCTGATAAGCCCAGAGATTCCATATTTAGAACCTGCCTATAAAACATTCTAAGGGTTATGTCTGCGCAGGCCCCTCCCTCTGCGATTTCGGACGCTTGCTCACCCTTGGGTCATGGTGGCCAGCACGACTGAAACTCCCTGTGGTGGCCTGTACTATGACAATGTTACTATGGCACTGATAAGAAACATTCCACGCACAAATTAGATAACTGGGGCCGCAGACTGTGAGAGAGACATCACCAGATACTTTGTGGCGGGGAGAATTCTCGTACATATTAGCCTTGACCTGAAAGACCTTTATCCATCCTGGTCACTGTTTTTCAGACCTTTCAATAAACAAAACTGATTTCTTTAAAAATAATAACAAAGACAGCTGTTTCAAGAGGAGCTTGAACTTCCCAGGGGATGATAGACTATGGTATTTGATTAAAAAAATTAATGAGACCTTTTGCTAAATCCGTTAAGATAAAATGAAAAGCTGATGTCCAAAGGAAAGGGCCTATTAAGGTAATTATGTAGCAGTGAATTACTTGAATAATAAATGAAAGGACCAGTTATCAGAAACTCAGTTTCTGGTAAAGTACAGTTAACCCCACTCCACCTGCTTGAGTGGTTTTTTTAACAAACAACCCCCACCTGTGGTAAATCCCACCCTGATTGATCAACTGCCGTAAAGTGGAACAATTCTTCTTTTTAAAGGCACAAGGGATTTTCCGCATTCCTCTATCTGAAGTAAACTATAAGATTCAAATAGGTTTCCAAACTGTTACCCTGAGCTATGGCTAGTCAATTGAAGGTGGACAAATACCCAAACTACTGTGGATGGCCAATCATGGCGTGTATAGTTGGGCAGGGGAGTAGCAGAGGTATAAAAGGAGGGGCAGACATCAATTCGGGGCTCTCGGCTGGATGCTGCTGTGTCAGCACGCAGAAGCCCGGGTTCGAACTCGAAATAAACTTTGTTAGTTCGGCTAATTGGCTCGGTGATCTTTTTTGGGACTCACTCCGTTACATTTGGAGGCCCCAGCGAGATCTCCCTAAATTCATCCAAACCCTGATCGCTGGCCAACGGAGTAACTGTGACGTTGCTATAGGATTCTTCCTACCTGGTAAGTCAGGCCTGATAACTGGTTAATCTGTATTCTGTTTGGTGCACCCTGGTTTTTGAAATTGGACAGTCGGAAGGAAGAATGCTGCATAACTTCCAGTCCAAGACTGCGGCAGTGACGACTGCCAAGGTCCAGGTGTCTGAGGAAGTGGGGACTCGCCTGGATTCAGCTTGTGTGGAAGTCTGGGTTCTCGAGTGGATGCCACTGGCACTCGAGAGTCCAGGTTCGACCCACAAGTCCTGAAATAGCTTGCGTGGAAGTCTGGGTTCTTGGGTGGATGCCACTGGCACGTGAGAGCCCAGGGTTGTCCCGCAAGTTCGAAATCGGCTTGTCTGGAGGTCTGGGTCCTCGGGTGGATGCCAGTGGCATGCAAGAGCCCAGGTTTCTCCTGCAAGTTCATAATTAGCTCACGTTGGTCTGGTGACCCGCAAGTTCAGAATCTCAGGGGAGAGAGGTCCACGCCTCAGATGTTCGGTGGGTGGGAGGTGAGAGAAACCCACCCCTCAAATGAGGTCTGTCAGTCTGGACTCAAATTCTGCCATGGTTTTTGTCGACAACACTGTTCGTTTGTCTGCTGAATGGGAGAGGCCGTACTTCGGACTCAGGTTTTGTCGTGGTCTTTGTTGCCAACAGTGTCTCTTGCTATTTTTGTGAATTTGTGTTTGTCAATGGTCTTTCTGTCGACAGTGTCTTTCTATTTCTGTGGATTTGTGTGGCTTTTTTCTTTCTCTACTCAGTTCTGGAACAAACAGCGCTAGCAAAACAGGCGCCAGTGAAAAATGGGAGCGGGACAGTCAAGGATGGAAAGACCGTCCCCTTTGGGGTGTTTGGTAACTAACTTTTCAGAATTCTCTTACAGGGCAGCCAGATATGGCATCCAAGTAGATGCTTTCACTCTAAGGAAGTTTTGTGAACTAGAGTGACCCACTTTTAATGTTGAGTGACTGGCTGAGAGGACCCTGGAAATGGGCCCCACAACTGGAGTTCGAGCCATAGCGTATGGCCTCACAGGATACCTGGATCAAATTCCTTACATAGATGTGTGGATCTCCTCGTAAATCAGTACAAGAAAGTGAATTATATGCTATTTTTTAGCTTTAAAAAGGTCTGATAAAAGTATTAATATTGTTATTAGTATTAATATTGTGTTATTGTTGTTGTTGTT